GGGGTTACATGCTTCAGTTTTAGTTTAGAGGCTTAAATGCTATTTTGGGAATAGCTTGGGACTTCAGAAGGGTTTTTGCCATCATAAACATATATGCTTTTCTTTGTCATTATATATATATATTTTTAAAAAATTACAATTATTTACATATATTCAATGGGAGATAGGGAAAGGATTTTACAAGGTTTGAACACGCAACCTATTAAAAGTGAACAATCCTAATTTAGCATTCATGTTACTGGGCTGAAGGCCATTCAAAAATATACATGAACATAAAAATTTATAAAGTAATCAATTAAATTATTAATATAAAAATATTTTTTTGTTTATATGATTAAAATTTAAATCCTTATTCTCTCTCTCTATCCTTTTACTCCATGAGGAGTTTAACCAACTGGTTTTTCATATTAAAATAAATATTTTTTGAAAATATACATTAATCTCTTTAAATCATGAAAATATTCCTTGACGCCTTTGCACTTAGAAAATTATGCACCTCACTCCAACTCTATTTTGATTTCACATTTAATATTTATAAAATTGAGGTTTAAGTGCACATTTTTTAAGTCACCAAAAGTTAACAAGCCTTTTTTTTTTCTTTTTTTTTTTTTCATTATTTAAGAGTTCAATGCATATTTTTAAGTTACACCAACGGAAGATTAAATGCACATTTTTTTTTTCATTTGGTATTTTTTTTATCATCTTCATTTGAGATCTTAAGTTCATCTAATAAGAAAAGTAATAATCTTAAGAAAAAAGTGTTTATTAACTGTATTTAAAAAGTTATGGAAAAAATATTTTAAAGTTATATCATTTTAATAAATACTTATTAAAAATATTAAAACATTCTAATTTTTTAAAATAAGATTGAGATTGTTTTAATATTTTCTAATAGTAAATTATTGAAATGATATAATTTCAAATATTTTTTCACCTAATTTTTTTGGCAGATATGATTAATAAATACTAATATCTAATATTACAATCTTCATTGTTGACCATCAACTATATAGTCTAATAGTCAAATTACTTATATTTTTAATTATAAGTTTAGACTTTGATTCATATGGCATGTTTGGTA